TTTTGGTATTTGAATTTAAACACAAAGAAACATTGTGTCTCTTTCCAAAAGATGGTAACTCCTGGAAAAGGTTGTCAAGAATGCTTATAAATAGTTAGAACAATAGGTCTCATTTTTCATTCACAAAAACCTTACAGCAGCATATATAAAACATCATTTTGCTTTCGGATTATCGATTTAATCTTGCGTGATAAACACCCTCACGGGCTTCTCGATCATCACCATTGTCAAGTTAACCTTTCATCCCTCACACCGTTGATTTTGAAATGGGGTTGAACTGACGGTGGAGATGATCGAACTCCACTTTGACCAGGAACTAGTAGAAAGGCTGGGTAGATATTTAAGGTAAGACAAATAGATAGATATTTCGAGGAAGGTAAGACAAATAGACAAAATAGCGATGGACTATGGAGGGAGGGAGGAAGGGGGTCCTACAATATTCTTTCGTCCCAAACAAATTTTTGTTTGATTCTCGCTCTGGTATTTGAAACAATAAGTATTGTAGTTGGAGGTATCAGAATTAGCCCTCTGACGATTAAGTTAGATTTTGGATAAAAGAATATGGAATAGATATTTTGGAAATGAAGTCAAGTTTGATGAAAGTGCATCTCCTCCTCTTCTGTTTACCTTCTTTATATAGAGGTTTGGTATAGATATTTCCTACGTAATTTGATCTTTTCTTCATCATCATCACAATGTCAGGGCCTATGCTCCTATTAACTCCTTGGAAAGGGACAACCTGGACCCACTCTAATACTCGGCATGGATGTTCGCCAACTTTGTCGGTATCACTTATTTCGCATATCACTTGATCGGCGAACAAGTTACTTGGCATTTGAACTTCTACGATCCAGTGAGCCTAATTGGGTTTGGGCTAATGGGTGATGGATCTTAGGGATGGCAATTTGAATCCGGCCCGACAGGGACCCGACCCCCCGTCCTCGATTTGAATAGTTTTTCCTCGAAAAATACTCCCGACGGGCCGGGGATGGTATCCGAAAATGCATTCTCGATTAGTTTCGGGCCGAGGACGAGCATAGCTTTCACAACCCCAGAGCCGGCCCGTCTCCGGCCTGGTTCTCCCCGAAATAAAATTACTTTTATACCCCTTCTATTCATTCATATATATACCTCTCTCTCATAGATTTGGTTCACTCTCTCCCTCTCTCTCAGACCTCCTCTGTCGCTCTCGCTCTCACTCTCTCTCTCAGATTTGATCACACTCTCTCTCAGACCTCTGTTACTCTCTCTCTCACATTTGAAACCTTAACCTCAAACCCACGTCGATTGAAGCGGAGAAGGAGCCACCAGAGACGATGTCATCCCACCGCCTCTACCACCGCCTCTGCCATTCCACCACCGCCTCCACCGATCGCCAACAGATCGTGAATCACCACCTCTGTTGCCACCGATCACCGATCTAAACAGATCGTAAATCGTGAAGCCCTTAGATCTCAGATCTAAAAATCATGATTCATGGAGAGTGAACCGTGAAGCACTCTCTCTCTCTCTCTATATATATGTATATGTATGTATCATCTCATTGTTGTTGTTGATTGTTGATGTTGTTGTTGTTGACGAAGAAGAAACAGAGGATCATTGTCGTTAGATTATTATTGTTGTTCATCTCAGATCTAACATAGATTATTATTGTTGCTGTTGTTCTGTTTTTTTTATTATTATTATTTGGCCCGAGGAATTTTCGGGGTCGGGGAAAACCGATCCCCGTTAGGGGACAGGGGCGGGGACGATGATAGGTTCCCCGTCGAGGATCAGGGCCGGGGACAGGGTAATTTTCACTATCGGGGACGGGGAGGGTAATTCCCAGCCTCACCCCGGCCCGTTGCCATTCCTAATGGATCTAGATACACTTTGTTTGCCAAATGCGTAATTTTTTTTACTCGGCTCACACATACTAGAATTTCATTACAAGTTGATTTGTTAGACTTGTTTCTTGGCTCTTATCAATCATTTGTCTTTTTCCAATTTCTTATGTATTCAGCAATTCAACATCTATGTTACATTTTTCTCATATGCTATTTGGATTTTTTTTTCTTTTTTTTTTTGTATAAATATTTTCCCAGTTTGTCAATGATTTGAGCTGAAACGTCGGTGTGTCCGTTTGGCAACTTACCTTTTTTGTGATTTTTTTTTTTTTTGGTTTTTTATGATTTGAGAAAAAGTTAATTTGTTAAGAATTATTTTGTAATTGAGTAGATAGTTTGTAAGAAAAAAAAGTGATGAATTTTTTATTTATATTTTTATTTGTTACTAAAATATTTTTTTAAGCCAAATAAGCTCCTTTTTTTTATAAAAAAAGAAAAAAAGAATTTTTTTTTTCTTTAAATAAAAAAGAAGTGACAATGACAAACATATCAGGAAAATTCTCCCTACATATTAATGTGACTTTGACTTTTTCCTTTGCGGACTACACGCGTAACTGTTTTATTGAATTTTTTTCATTTAGAAATTTATTATTTTAATTAATTTTTAATTTTTAACCAAAGAATATGTAAAAAGGTTTATAAAAAAATGATGTATTTGTAGTGATATTTTCGGTCTCTAAGTAACTTAACAAAAATTTAATATAACATTGATATCTAAATTTGGCCCACCGGTCCGCGGCGCACCCGAAGTCCATCCGAGGCCCGTGCGGCCCTGTTCGGCTAAGCTCATCTAGGCCCGGGCCCGAGCCTGAGACACTAAGCTTGGGTCTGTACCATCCAATCCAAATCTCGCCCATTGCCCTACTTAAGGCCTGACCCGAGGCTCAATGTCATTTTTGGTGAAAAAAATAGAATTTTTATTTTAAAAAAGAAATGGTCATGCTCGACCTAGGCACGTTGTTCGAACTTGAGGCCCGAATTGCTAGCTTGCTCAAGGCCCCAATATTCCTAGGCCTGAACCTAATTTTTTGGCCCATGGCCCAGTCCAACTCGAATTTTGGCAAAACCCTGCTCGACCTGACAGTGGGCCTTACACACCTAATGATACCGATAACATGGTATCACCAATAAACAACAATCCTTATATGAGAGAGATGAACCCTTATTTTTCAGATAAAAGTACCTTGCCACATATGCAAAAGTAAATACTAAAATATTATTACATAATAGCTTGGTATCACCATTATATTAAATTTTTGGAAAACTATAGTGTACAAAGACGGTGCACCATATACACCATATAACTTTAAAAAAAAAAATTGCATAATTTTAATTTTCTGAATCATAACTAAAACATATATATATATATATATATCATAACTAAATATAATATGAGTCATAACTAAAATAATGTCATAATTAAAGAAGAAAATTGATCAGAACTAAAGAAGAAAATGATATAATTAGAGATGTATATGGTATATTATTTTTAAAAAATTGTATATTAAAATTTCCCAAAAAATTTTTTCCCCAAATAACTAGGCTTTTTGCTCATTTCACCGCGCCATCCCCAACTAAGTTCGTTTGAATTGTAATACCAAGGAAATGGAAGAAAAAAAAGTTAAAATTGCAAATTAATTGTGTTTTTATAAAATATTTACAAATTTATGAAAAATTAAAAATTTCAATTATTAAAATTGATAAATTTTTCCATTTATTTGTAATTTCTTTTAGAAACTTGCACTGAAGTGCAATATTCCCAAGAAAAAATAGTCTTAACTACACTCCCACAAAAAGGTGTGTGCCATATAACTAATCATTTTTAGTTGCAACCAAAAAAAGAAAGGTCATAATTAAACATTACATAAGGTATCATTAAAAATATTTTCAATCACAATCATAATAATAATGACAATAAATTATAACTAACATTAAAATCAGTCATAACTAACACAATAATTAGTCATAACTAATATGACAATAGGTGATAACTAAATGCACAAATGTCACAAGAAGTGTGTATTATAGAACTTCTCAAAATTCGAAACAATTATAAATTTAGAAATTTTAATCAAAAATTTTAAAATAAATTATAAATATACCCCCTAAGATTTGCTTAAAATATAAATTACCCACTGTGGTTTTAAAAATTACATTCTGCCCTTTGAAATTTATAATTTCATAACAAATAGTCTATTTTATTGATAAATCATTAAGTCAATTAATAATTTTTAGGGAAAATTAGTCTAAGGTTCCTTTCTTATTTTTAATAATGGAAGAGATCCACAATATTATTTTATGATGTCTAAGGTTCCTTAACCCCCAACACCCATATATCACAAAGAAATTTGATTCTCTCAAATCAAACTGCCTCTCCCTCTCTTCCTCTCTCTCTGCTTTTCTTTCTTCGACGAACTCCACCTCCATCGCCAGAGTTCATCGTCGTCTTCTCCAACTCTCTCTCCTTTGTCAAGTGAAGCTCAAAGCACCCTTATCCATGGATGATTTCACTGATATTGGAATCGAAATGTACTACGACGAGAAGAAAACCCAATGATGGGAGTGAACAACGATATCATCACCATCAAGGCCGATGATGGAAGTGATACTGTCACTTTTATGTTTGAAAGCCCTAATAAGCTTCTCTTAGTTCTTTCTCCTTCGGCTCCGTCCTCTACTGGTCCTGGAACACGGTCTCACACACACACACACACACACACACACACACACACACACACACACACACACACACACACACACACACACACACACACACACACACACACACACACACACACACACACACACACACACACACACACACACACACACACACACACACACACACACACACACACACACACACACACACACACACACACACACACACACACACACACACACAAAAGTCTATTTTTATTTGGCTACTAAAATTTTAGTCACCAAAAGTTTTTTTATTCATTTTATTTTTTTTAGCCACCAACTATTTAGTCAATAAAAATATTTACTGCCTTTTTTGGCTACCAATTATTTAGTGGCCAAAAACATGATATTATTATTTTTTTTAATCTGTCCATAACCTGTATGTATTCCGTGCAACCTATACCATGTATATAAACAAAACAATACATATATTATCAATCATTTCAAAATTTACATCCATTTAACTTCCAACCATCCAAAAAGGAATAACTTAATGTCAAATTATTTAAGTAATAAGACACTTTCATAATTTTATAACCACTCCAATGACAGCTAGTAATCCCCACTGCTTGGCATTAGCAATGCACAACCATAATTAGGAACCCAAAGGCCTTCAACATTGGCAAAGCAAAAGGTCCACTCATCAGATGGCTGCAACAATAAGCATTAACATAAAAACTATCTCTTGCATCAACTGCACATGAATTCTCTTTGTTGCCTACACACAACTGGCATGCTTCTTTTGGTGGCAAGTTAGCATCCTGTGTCGAATGAGCAAAAAAAAAAGGTGCCAAGTCAGCATCTCTGCCTTTTTTTCTTTTGAGTTACCACCACCAGAATTTCCTCTTCTTTTCAACATTCTGTCTAATTTTTATTTCCAGCAAATCTTCACTCCATCATTCCTTACTAGCACTGCCATTCTCTCTCTAGACAACAAAAATCCATTGGCTTCTCTGCATTGCCATTTTGCATTAGATGATCACATTGAAGAATCACAATCATGGTAAGCTTTCATGGTTCATCTTCTTCATTTTCAACTAACTCGATCAATCTATTCTCTGTAAAACAATGGTCACATTACCTTTTTTGTGATTCTTCAATGATCCAGGGAACTACTGTAAACATCATAGTCGGATCACACGTGTGGGCTGAGGATCCTGAAGTTGCATGGATCAACTTAGAAGTTATAGAAATCAAAGACACAGATGCTACAACAGTTACCACAAATGGTACAACTGTAAGATAATCTTTCCACTCATTATATTCGAGAGTAACTGTATCTACATGATCAAACCACTAGGATCATTAGCTCCACTAATATTGCAAGAATCACTACATCAAGTTTTTAAAACAACATACAAATAACATCTGTTCCTTTTAGGCACTGTAGATATATAATAGCATAACAAGTTTGAATGCAAATAACAAATATTACTTAAATAATAAGACATATACTAGCAATACTAAAGGCATGGTATCAGGAACTACTTGCAAGTAGAATCCTAACCAAAAGGACATAGCAGTGAGACTGAAGCAATAAACCCTCTTGCAAACTATTCCAAGTGCTTCAATGATGATGGCCGCTTGAAAAGAACTAGTACACCTTCCACCTTCTATGAATTATTGACTTGCATAGAAGAAAAAACACAGCTTTTCTTTTTGTTTTATATATTGCTTTCTTCTATCTTTCATGATAAACTCATTATTACTTTTAATCTTTTGACCTCCATGTACTTTACTGAATTTTATAAACTTCATTTGACTAGTTAGTCAATTTCATTAACAAGTCTTTTTTAGATTCCTTATTACTATATGGAGATTAAACTCATCATTTTCTGTCAAGGACCAAAAAGAAAGGGTTCAATATTGATATTGTTTATTGCCTATTCAGGAAAATCCAAGTATGTGGTTATGTGCTTTGCTTAGTAATCAATTGTATTATTAGAATTATTTAACTTTGACTTTGTCCTCCATCCCAAATAGGGGACAAATCCAAAAGGGTGTTTTACACTGAGTACTTCCTAAGAGACATTTTATCAAACAGTTTGAAGGCAAGAAAAAAATTATGATTCTGACCAACTTTGTTGAGCTATTTAGCTAGCAATTGAAGAGGAAAAATTTGAACTTTTGCTATTTTTTGACAGTCTATCACAAAACAGACATATATATAGGCAAAACAGACATATAGTGTTTTTTCGAAAGGATCAGTTTTGAAACATGAGTGTTGACTGTTGAGTTAACAGAGGTGGAACTTGGAAGTATTCTACACTTTAAAATGAATTATTATTAACACAAAAACACTTTGCGAAATAGAGTTCCTAATTGAATCATACTTCAAAGTTTTTATATAATTTAACGGTTGAGAATCGATTGAAATAAGAGATGAATGGAACTGAAGGACTATCATTGGCCATCACAGAAGCTTACTTGATGCTACTTTGACTACTTATGTCCTAAATTGTAAAGCTCACCTCACCTGTAGTAACCATTTTGTAGGTAAAATGGGTGATGAAAATCCCAGTTCAAGAGATATGAGTAAACATTGCGAATCTCTTGATCCAAAAACAGAACACCCTTGCACAAAACAAGATCAGAAAACAAACAAGCATTCCAGAAGAGAAAGCAAGTTACCTGATTAGCAAATCCAATACCAAAACCAAGCAAAATACGACCAACAATTAGCATCCAGACTGCTTGAGCAAACCCATTGACGAGAGCTCCAGCGCAGAACAGTACACCTCCGAACAGCATCGACAACTTTCTGCCCCGTTTTCTGGTCACCGTTGATGCAACGAGCGAGGACAACAGAGCAGCCAAGTACAGAGATGAAGTGAACATAGTGAGAGTGAAACTGTCAAATTTACAGTACTGGTTCGTCGAACCATCCGCCTTTTGCTTCTCGTACACAGATGGAAAGAACTTCAAAAATGATTCCATAGATGTCACTCCACCTATACATACACACAACCCAACAATCAATGGTGAGAGGGCAAGAGAAGTTCAGGGTGAGAAATGGGTTGTAAAGAATCACATTGGGAAAAAACAAAATCAGAAAAAGAGAGAGTTATGTATAAAAATTAGGATAAAAATTAGGGCTAATTAACAATGAAGGCAAAACATAAATAGAAAACAAAGCAGAAACAGAGAGAGAGAGAGAGAGAGAGAGAGAGAAAGAAGAGGGATGATGAGAGAGTGAAATGGGAGAGGACTGATAGTAGTCGAATAATTAATAACAATTGGCGACTAATTACTTTTTTTTAATCCCTTCAAAATTTGAAACCTCTCTTCAAATATTTTAATTTTTTTGACGATTAAAATATTCTTTTGTCGCTGAAAATTTATTTTTGATAACTAAATTTTTGGTCGCCAAAAACATATTTTTTTTCCCTTTTCATTTGGCTACTAAACAATTTTAGTAGTTAAAATTAACTATATGGCTACTAAATTATTCTTTTGGCAACCAAATTTTTTGTCGCCAAATATAATTTTTTTTTTTCATTCGGCTACTAGACAATTTTAGTAGTCAAAACTAACTATACAGCTACTAAAAAAATTTTTAGTCACCAATTGTGATATTTTTAGCGACTAAATTTTTTTTTAATCACCAATAATCAATATTTCCCGACTGAAAAAAATTAATAGCTAAATTTTTAACTTTTGCCGACTAATATTATTTTTGGTTGCCAATTACACAACTTTTGGCGATTAAATTTTTTTTTAATCGCCAAAAGTGGTCGCCAAAAGTACATTTTGTTTTAGTGTCTTATGTGAAAATGGATTAAAATTAACTTGTGGTGTTAGACTAAATATTAGAAGTGACCTGAAAGTTAGTTGACTGAATATTTATGTCAATGTGACATTCACCTAGTCATTAAAAATTGTCTTGATTGTTTAAAATTATCTTTATCGGTTTGTAACCCATATAAGTTAGTTTGAAGGTCCAAATATTTTATTAAGGGCTGGTTTGGGATCCACTAAAAAAAGACAAAAAGTCAAAAAATTATTCAAAAAATTAAAAAGTTGTCACTATTCATCCAAAAAAAATATATAAAAAAATTAATATATAAATATTAAAAAATAATCCACCTTTTCGGCCCATCAGTCAAACCAACGGCCAAGAAAGGAAAAAAATTTTATTTTATAAGCATTCACTAAGTGACATTGGAAAAGTTGGGTCCGTGTAGGCCCACTATGGGTCCCGTTTTGATAATTTGAACCTTTCAATATGTAGAAATTGTCTAGTACTATATGCCTATAAAAAATCACGTCTACTGGATATCGCTAACAACATGATCAAATCAGCTTTGTATAAACAATGATTGGTGTTATAGTTAACAGTTGACAAAAAAAATCAACACGATCAGATAACTATAGATATCCAATCAACCTGATTTTTTACAAACATATAGTACTCAATGATTTCTACACATTAAACGGTTTCGATTAGTAAAATGGGACCCGTGGTGGCCCCCATGGGCCAAACAAAACCGACCAACTTATGCCTAAAAAGTAGAGAATCAATCTCCTACCCACCCCTGCAGCGCTGCTTCCAACCGTACGCCCTACCCCGTAACTTTATTCCCCTGTACATTTATTTGTACAATTTTTTAACAGCAATGATAGAGAGCCTGAATTTTCCAAGCTCGAATGGCTCGAATTGACCAAAACGACGTCGTTTTGGACACAAAACAACACAAAACGACATCGTTTTGGCCAATTCGAGCCATTTGAGCCGCGAATATTGTGGCCACCAATCATTTTTCATTTTTTAATACACATTTTTTCAAAAAAAGTCAAAAAGTTAACCTAAACATTCATATTTGTTTCCTCAACTTTTTAGCCCCAAAAGACAAAAAGTGCACTTATTTAAGACACCCAAAACAATCCCTAAATATCAAAAATGAGTCTAAAAAATTTAGGGTTGGTTTGGGATGTCCTAAAAAAGTGCACTTTTTGACTTATTGGTGGGTTTGGGTTGGGTTTGGGTTGGGTTTGATGTGATGTGTTAGAGAGGTGATGTGATTTAAATAGGATGATGTGACTTAAATAAGATAGTGACTTTTTGACTTTTTGACTTATTTAGTACATGCCAAACTAGCCCTTAATTTGAGTCGATTTTTTTTCCCCAACAATTCTTGATTTAACCTTATAATACATCTTATTTTAATAACTCAATATAAATAAATAATAAAAAAAAACAATAATCTTAATGTTTATGGTTCTTTTTGTCAATCAATAAAAAATATTTATAAATATTAAGAGAATTACATTTGGACAAATTCTAACATAAATTTTTTACTTTAAAACTCTAAGACTACATATTTTGTTTGATTCTATCTACATCACTAATCTTTGGAGGTTTAATGATTTTTTTTTTAATGGAATGTCTGTTTGCTATAATATAGATATATAGATTGGAATATCAATGCATATAAAATTATTAAACATTAAGAAAAAAAAATTATGAAAGATGTAGATTAATTCCTATATTTGAGTAGTATAAAAATTCAAATTCAAATTTATATTTTAGTTAACTTTCCTTCTCAATTTCTAAATTTAAATTTTTAAATAAATTAATTAACTTTCTTTTTGAAATGTGTAAATCAAGGCATAAATGCCATTTAAAATTTTAAATAGATTAACTAACTTTCATTTTAAATTTAAATTTGTAAATGAATTAATTAACTTTCCTTTTAAAATGTGTAAATCAAGGCATAGAAGTTATTTAAATTTTTAAATAGATTAATTAACTTTCCTTTCAAATTTAAATTTTTAAATGAATTAATTAACTTTCCTTTTGAAATATGTAAATCAAGGCATAAAAGCTATTTAAATATTTAAATAGATTAATTAACTTTCCTTTTAAATGGATTAATTACTATTTTTTTAGATTTTTTATAAAAATAATTTAACAATCCCATCAGTAACCATAGGGCATGTTTGATTGGGTGGATTAGAGTATGGGATTGATATTATTAATCCGTGGGCCCAATTATGCTATGTTTGTTTTAACATTTTGATTTAGGATTATTAATCCAATGGATAATTAATCCAACAAATTTGTAGGATTATTAGTAATGGGGTAGGGGTGAGATTATTAATCCAATGGATATTAATCCAATTGGATAATGAATACCACACTAATTTAATAGGATTATTAATACTTCACTATTAATCTTGTAAATCAAACATGACCATAGTGTATAAGAGAAGTTGAAAAGGGTGTTACAGTAACTATGAGAGAAGTCAAAAATGCTTGTGGATAGGGAAAAGTTAATAAATGCCACGTTTTTTTTAATTAAAGAATTAAAAAATTAAGATTGAGATATTAGAACTCCCACAAGACTTGTGGGTTAGAAATTCCATTTTTCTTATATAATATATAGATGTTTTGAATGCAGTGTTTTGCTTCACAAACCATGTGCCCCCAAATGCCACTGCAAATCAAACACATGTATTTCACCCGCCACACACTCTCACCCTTGTCGATTATCAATTTGATTATTCTGCTTATTTTGGTACATGTTAGGGATTTTTTTGGGCTTCAATACTAGTGGTTTTGCTTTCGTATGTTCCAAGTGTAAATTTTACTTGGACCTTTGATGTTTTTTTTTCTCAAAACCCACCATCATGATGTTTAAAATTGGCTTTCTTCAATAAGCCAATTGACAAGTTATGTTGCAACACTTGTGATCAGCCTTGCCATACCCCTTTCTTCCTGCGTAGTGCAAAGGCTTCGTTTGGCAAGAGGCTATTTTAGCCAATTAGTCAAAAAGTTACTAAATTAATAAAAAAGTCAACAACTCATACCAAAAAGTCAAAGATTCTCTTTTCTCTTTACTTTTTGCACATCTTTTCGTAATTAGCCAAAAAGTCATCCCAAATATACAAGTTTTTTTTACCTACCTTTTTAGCCAAATAGCCAAAAAGTTACTAAATTAGCCTGTTCCCAAACGAGGCCTTAATCTTCATGTCCATTCCATTTCAACATTACCATCTACTGTCAAATCTAGACATTGTCATCCCCTCACCCTCACCAATTCCCCAATTAAAGATCACCGGGTTGAAGATGACGACGCATAATTCTACCATGATGCTTGCGAAGACAAAAGAGAACTAGCTCAAAACAAGTTATTATTGTCTTGAATGCCACTATGTTGCTCACCCTCATCGTGTGGCATTTGAGGTATGTCTATATTCATTCAATTTTTATATATTGCGTTTTTATACTTTTTTTTAGTACAATTTATGCACCCTCTTCGTGTTTATATTCATTCAGTTTTTATAGTTTTTAAAGCTTGTCAACTGTAGGTTGGAAGGTAATTAGGGATGCAATTCGGACGGGTTCGGTTGGGTTGAGAGGTTGTCCAAGCTTAGCCCAAGTTGTGCTGAGATTTGCCTAGGCTCGCCCAAACCCGAATTATAACCCGAGGTTGCATGCCCAAGTCCGACCCGAGTTAAGCCCGAATTGCCCGAATTGTATCTTCTTTTTTTTTTGTAATTATATTATTAAATTATTAAAATTTGACTCTATTTATATATATATTTTTTATATATATAGAATCATTAATACCATCAAAACAAATAATTTATATAATGTAAGAGAGATGCCGCTATAGTAGTCTTTATAATTTATGAGTGAAAAAAAAAAAAGATTTTATGTTATTTGTATATATAATATATATTCAATATGATTTAATAATCTAAATTACTTTAATATCATGTAATGGCTAATAATTTTTATATATATATTTAATATTTATATATATCTAAATATGTATAATTCGAGCTTCGGGTTGCTCAGGATGTTTGATGTCTTTGCCCAAACCAGTCCAAATTTAATTTGGGCTTTTGAATTATTGCCCAAGCCCGTACCAAATTTAAAAATATCTTGTCCAAGTCCTAAAAAAATTCGGACTGGGTTTGGGTTGCTCGGGTGGAGCCCGTTCAAGGAATTAGGGGAGGTAATGGGTGGCGGGGTGGCGAAAGATGATGAACAAGAAAAAATAAACTAAGAAATTATTTTATTTTATTTTTATTTTTTTGGGTGCTCAAGAAATTATTTTTAAAACTACTGAAAATACATTTCTTTTTGGACTGGGTTTCCCTCTTGTCCGTGATATTGTTAGGCCTATGGGGGCTCACCACATGTCCCGTTTTCATAATTTAAAATGTTCAATGTGTAGA